ACATCCCCCATGGCAGCAGCAACAGTTGATCGGCTTCATTTGTGGTCCCCAGACCCACTGAGAAAATCCTGTTGTCAGACTCTTTTGGAAAGGCAACAAGATAGGGGCCAATCATACTTCAAGGGAAATGTTCCAAAGAGACAACCACTGAGAAGACCCTTTTTATGATCTCACCAGATGTACATTCCTTAATAGATGGCATCTACAACATACCCCGACTATTGGGCAAATGGGATGAAACAGGGTAAGGTCATGTGGGCTTTTAAAGGTGACAACCATGCACCTTTAATTGTACCTGGAAACAAAACTGGCAGCCAGTAAAAGCTCCAGCAAAAGAGGTGCACAAATCTAGGCTTGCACAAAATTGTTCAGGCTGCTGCATTCTGAACCAACTGAAGCTTCTGGATATCTTCAAGGGCAACCCCTTGTAGAACACATTACAGTAGTCCAGACATATCTAGAATTGTGGAATGTTTCTCTTTTGAAGACCCTACAATATTTAAGTACCATAGAGCATTTTATTTCATCTAGTTTGGTAGCTAGAGAAGGATAGGAAGAGGAGGGAAAGGAAAATTAGTGTGATTATTTTTGCTTTAGTAAATATTTACTAAGTTATTATACAAATTATTCTAAAAGTTGCTTCTTTATATCTTAATAAAGTTTTTGGGCCACAGATAATTAAATTTAATTCAAATGATAAAATCCGTCTATTTCATTCAAATGTGTTAACTGGATCTACAGTGATAAGAAATGTTTCTGCTGGTATGTCATATTACCCATTAAAAGAGATTAAGGTCTTATTACTTTTCTGATTGTAATTTGTGTGTATTGTGTGTGAATATATATACATGCATACATACATACACACACATATCAGAAAAAAATCCTTCACTTTAGTCAATTTTGTTATGCCTCAGACTGATTCTACAGTTGTTGAAATTCATTTTTCTTATTAATCTACACTCAGTACCCCATAATGACGAAGTGAAAACAGAAGTTTAGAAATATATGTAAATTTATTAAAAAGAAAAAACTGAAATATCAAATAGGATATTCATACCCTTCATTCACTACTTTGTTGAAGCACCTTTGGCAGCACTTACAGCCTTGAGTCTTTTTGGGTATGACTGGATTGGGAGATTTTCTGCCATTCTTCCTTGCAAATCCTCTCAAGCTCAATCAAGTTGGATGGCGACCATCAATAGACAGCCATTTTCAGATCCCTCCAGAGATGTTCAGTAGGGTTCAAATCAGGGCTCTGGCTGGGCCACTCTAGGACATTCACAGAGTTGTCCCTAAGCCACTCCTGTGTTGTCTTGGCTTAGGATCGTTGTCATGTTGCAAAGTGAACCTTCGGTCCAGTCTGAGGTCCTGGGCGCTGTAGAACAGGTTTTCATTGAGGATATCTCTGTACTTTACTCCATTCAGTTTCCACTCAACCCTGACCAATCTCCCAGTTCCTGCTGCTGAAAAACAACCCCACAGCATGAGACTGCCACCACCATGCTTCACTGTTGGGATGATACTGGGCAGGTGATCAGTGGTGTCTGGTTTCCTCCAGACATAACATTTAAAATTGAGGCCAAACAGTTCAATCTTGGTTTCATCAGACCAGACAATCTTGTTCCTCACAGTCTGAGGGTTCTTCAGGTGCTTTTGCGCAAACTCCAAGTGGGCTTTTATGTGTTTTACACTGAGGAGAGGTTTCCATCTAGCCACTCTGCCCTAAAGCCCAGATCAGTGGAAAACTGCTGTGATGGTTGTCCTTCTGGAATTCTGTCCCATCTACACAAGATGTCTGGAGCTCAGTCAGTGACCATTGGGTTCTTGGTCATCTCTCTTATTAAGGCCCTTCTCCCCCAATTGCTCAGTTTTACTGGGCAACCACTTCTTGGAAGAGTCCTGGTTATGCCAAATCTTCCATTTGAGAATTATGGAGGCCACTGTACTCTTAGGAAACTTCAGTGCAGCAGAAATTTTATTGTACCCTTCCCCAGATCTGTGCCTTGCAATAATCCTGTCTCTGAGCTCTGCAAGTAGTTCCTTCAACCTCATGGCTTTGCTCTGCTACAGTGTGCATTATCAGGTGTGAGGCCTTCTATAGAGAGTTGTGTGCCTTTCCAAATCATGTCCCGTCAATGTAATTTTCCAAATGTAGACTCCAATCAAGGTGTAGAAACATGTCAGCAATAATCAAGAGAAATGGGAGGCATCAAGTGTTGTCGCAAAGGGTCTGAATACTTATTATGTTAATGTGATATTTCAGGGTTGTTTTTTTTTCCTTTTTAAATTTACAGATATTTGTAAACTTCTGTTTTTCACTTTGTCACTATGGGGTAGCAAGTGTAGATTAATGAGGAAAAAAATCAACTACTGTAGAATCAGGCTGCAGCATAACAGAAGTGAAGGGGTCTGAATACTTTCTGAATGCACACACACAAACACACTATTCCATGCCATTGAAAGCTGGTAGCAAATGCAAACATCAAAAAATGTAGCTTCCTCCACTGCAAAAATAAGTTCTGCTGTAAGTTTTGGGCTGTCCAAATTTATTTCAGCATACAAAAGTAACTCTGTAGTTGCGGGGTTCAGTCATATTTTTGTGTCCACTAAATATTGGCAATGTGATGTTTATGAAATTCCTCATGACTGCACAAAACAGAACTGCATGCATTGCTCTTTATCCACGGCTATGGAAATAGTGTACCCAGATCTCAATGGCCACTGGAGGACAAGCATCATCTTGCTTCTATCCTATTTATATCTTTCTGATCCATTCACTTGAAATGAATATTTAGAATATAAACTAATTTTTCATTTTCTGAAAAACTGAGCAAACTTGTCAAGAGAACTAGATGGCTATCTTGCTGTATTGCCCCACTGAGTCATTTTAAGAAAAGACTGTATCGAAAGTTTCAGAAGAGAGTTATAAAATGAACTGTTTATTTCTTATGTAGACTTCCATTGATTTTATAGATGGAATCCAAGTTCAGAATAAAATAGGAAGAAAAAAAAAGCAACTGTACAGCATATTATGCTAGCCAGTATCATATACATACTTCAATTATTTCATTTCATCATCTCCAAATTATATGTAGTTTCTTTCCATCTTGAAACATACTTGTGTAAATATTATTTAAAAGCAAAGATCTTTGTGCAGAACTGACATGAAACCAAGAATTAAGAATTCTTATCAGCATGGAAACCTCATTCTCTGAACCCTCTGAAACATTGGAAATTCACTGAAGCTATTCCTTATTAATGACCATAGGCAGAACATAGGCATCAATGGGCAGCAATTGTGATAACTACGTATTATCTCTAATATGAAAAGCAGCATGAACCTGAATACCAGTTGCTGGAGAACAGCAATATCGGGTTATGATTCTTACATCCTACTTGCAGGCTTCCCAGGGACAGCTGCTTGGCTACTACAGGAAACAGGATGCCACATTAGGGAGGACTTTGGTCTGATCCAGCAGGTCAGTCATGTTCTTAAGTATACACTTTACATTTCGAGAAATGTCATAATTCCTGATTTTAGCTTCATGGAATGCTGCATATGTCCACTGCAGACAAAAATAATGTACATATGCAATAAGTTAGTCTAATGTTTTCTTTAGAATGTCAAAATTGTCTGCTCTTCACTGCTAAATCTAAATGACAAACTGTCATAAATATTCGTTTCTTACTTATAGATTCTAGAAAAAGCATGGTTTACAATTTTCTTAACACCTTCATTGATTTGGGATTAGATCCTTGTAATTGTACATAAGGAATATATATAACAACACAACTTATTTTTAAGGACACATGCAAATATTATTTCATTTGTTTAACCTGACACTCTTTTCATTCCTCGCTAATAAAAGCCGTTTCCCAAAATGACCCTACAATCTCACTACCATATACTAAAAACAATTCTTTCATACATGGAACATCTTTGCTATAAACACTAAAATCCAGCTTTTGCTTCCCAAATATTTTAAACCCGACTATGGTTTCATAAATCTATCTTCTATTATTTTAGATAGCCAAATACATGCAGTTTCAAAACCAATCATTAGCCTTCAGCAAATTAGAATGGAAAGATTAAAAAAGAAAAACAAGATAGTATATGGACTAAAAATGTCAGAATGTTATAATTTATTTACTACATGCAGCCCGTAACAATTGTAATAATGCATTTTTCTAAATAGCCTACATAGAGATCAATTAAAAAGTCAAAGTCATTCACATTATAGCATTCGATTGCATAGGCTAGAGCAGACTGCTTCTCTCCACAGACATGCCTGAAGCATACAGTACTACTGGTGCAGTCCTGATCTCAGAGACATGTTTAGTCATCGAGTTCAATAAGTGGGAGAATTGAGCTCTAAAAAATATTACATTTATCCATAAAATCTTTAACATGCATCCTTTTTTACAATCTTTGATCAAAATGCAGAACATTCATCCTTACTAGCTTGAGGGTTACTCCTCCCATTGTCAGCACATATAAAAACCCACAAGGTCCTACAATCCACATCTGTTTAATTTTCTAGCACAACATAATATAAAGAACAAAGCTTTCCAAAATACATTTAGATGACTGAAAGGACAGAAACCCATGCTATTGACAATAACATCTGAATATTTCAACATCATCTTAGTAAAACACTATGTAGACATGACTAGACTGACAAATGCAACTATGATTTTCTTAAATTAAATCCTATCTTTTTCTAATACACATTTTGTAAACTGATTTGTTGCCAACTTCCCTTCCTCATTTAAAACAGACAAACCAATAAAAAGCATTACAATCAGCTTTAAAAATCAGTAAGATTTATCTGCAGAGGCATGACTCAGTATAAACTTTTAAGCAAATTCTTCACGGCACTATAAAATGACGTAATCTTGTATAATTCAAGCTTTTCTACTTCTTAAAATAGAGGCACGTTTAAAGTACTACTGTGGTGACAACAGCAAAACAATTTGTAACCCAACGCCCGTAATACCTTCATGTTGTATCCTTTAACTGCTCCTTCTTCTGCACTTGCTATAAAGCTATCCCTATAAAACAAAAACAAAAGCACACAATAAAGAAATCTCCATCACATTTCATTCATCCCACATCTTTTACAAGTGTCCTCCCTCCTCTTCAGTTGCACCTGCAACAGTCCTTAATCCTGCATGACTACTACTACTGATACAAATTCAAAATGCAGCTGCCTGAGCATCCTTCAGTGACTGACTGCAAAGTGATCAAGCAAAACAAGTGTTCGGGGAAGATACAAAGTTGGTACGTACAACCAGAGTTTGCCACAAGTGAATTAAAAGCAGCATTCCCCCCACCCCCGTTTTTTACCAAGGCAGACGCTTTCCCCTTTGAAAAACCCTTCGGTCCGCCCACATCGACTGCATATGGAGGGAGCCAGGAATTAAGAGAGCGTTCTGCATTCACACACATCAAATGCATGCAGGCAGACACCTTTATAGCGCAGCAGCAGCAGCAGCAGCGGCCGAAGGGAAAAGAAAACCGGCATGCTTTTCTTCCCCGCCGGCAGCTATCAGACCCCGCGTCCTGCTGATCCGATCCTGAAACGTTACAAGAGGTTTCGGCCTCGCCACAAGCTTCAGGGCAGAAAAAAAGGGGGGTGAAAAGGCACACCGCGTCTCTTAAAGCAGCCAGACACACCACCTCTCTCTTCTTCCAAAGCCATATAGTGGGAGGAGGAGGAGCAGGAGGGAAAAGGAGGAGGAGGAGGAGGGAGAGGAGCAACAATAGCAGCAACAGCTTGAAGGGTGATGAATGTGCGAGCAAAGCAGCCAGTAGTGATTCTTGGCGGCAGCAGCAGCAGCAGCAAGAGCAGCAGAACAAATCTACCTCGGAGAGGCAGTTTTGAGGCGCATGGAGGCTGAATCTGAATGCCTCCGGGCAAGCAGCAGCAGCAGTGGCGGCGGCGGCACCAACAGACTCCCCGCATACTCCCCAAGCAGCAGCCTTCTTTCCGGGCGGCTGCCTTAATTGGGAAAAACAAAAAAAAAACAAAAGAGGCCAGAGAGCGAAGCAACAGCTCGGGGGAGCGGGGAGATGCAGCCCCCTACCCAGTTCTAGGCGAGCTCCCACCACTCGAGACACGCGCTTAACTGAGCAGCGGCGGACCTCTCCCGCCTTTCCCTCCGACTAGCCGCGGCGCCAGCCCAATCCCCACAGCAGGTCCACGGTTCGGGCAGCCGCCCCTCGGTGGGCTCTTCCGAAGGGGGACCTCACGGCACACGACGGCTTTCCCTTCCAGCCAGCTACACCGCCCCTGACTTAGCAAAGCAGCAGGAACGTGTGGGGGGGGAGGGGGGGAGAGAGACCGACCGGCTCTGCCTCGGGCTTTGGGAAACGCTCCCTCTTCCTCCCCACCAGCTCCGGATTCCGCCTCTTGCCTGGAGGCGAGCAACGGCCGGCCAACCTTCTCCGGTTCTTCCCCGTACTACTTACTCTGCGCCTGAGGAAAAGAAGGAGGGGTGGGGGGGGCAAAAGAACCGCGGCCACCAGCACTACCGACCCGCTGCTGTTTCTTGCAGCAGTTCAGCCAAACGTCTTTGCTTTGCCCCGGCTGGAAAGTCCCTGGTACGCTGCCCCGGCTGGTTCTTTTTTTTTTTTTTTTTTCTTTCCCCGCCCGCCCGGCACTTCCTCTCCCGCCCTCGAGCCCAGTCTGGAAATCCCCGCCGCGTTCCTTTCTTTGCTCGCGCTCGTCGCTCGCTCGCTCGCTCGCGCGCTGCCGGGCTCTTTCTTACAACCAGCACACCACCACCACCACCACCACCACCACCAAGCGCGCCTCCAGACTGGCTTCTCGGCACTGGCGAGGCGGGTTGAACGAGGGACGGGCCTCCGCGGAGCTCAGTCCCCGCCCCGCTCATTCGCCAGCCGCAGGCTGGTTGGCTCTCCTTGCGTGGCCGAACGGAAAAGAGGAAAAAGCGGGGGTTGTGGGGGGGGGGGCGCTATTTCCGCACACATTTCATTCAGGAGGAAAAAAGGAACGACCGACCCCTAGCCGTAGTTCTGAGGAAGAAGTGACAGAGATGGCGCTCTTTCATTCGTGCGTAATTGGGGTTGCGCTTATATCGGGAGTCCCGCTGGAATTCTAGCACTTGTTCGTGTGGTGAAATGATTAAATGAAGTCTCTCTCTCTCTCTCTCTGAGCATGGGCTGAGGGCTGTCCTCTCCTTCCACTTCTAAGTCCCGTATCTGTGCGAGCGCTGACTTCCATCATAAAGTTCATAGGGAATTAAAACTTCGATTTTCCACAGTTGGTGGGGAGGGAAGGAGCATTTTGCTTAAATCGTTTTGTCACGGGTCGCCCTTTTCCTTTATAGAAGGGCCCTTTATGATTTTCACAGTAGGGCAAGATAGCATTCATAATTATTTCATAGTTTTAAAAAATTTATGGAGAAGATCAGTACCCCCCTCCATTTCACTGGTGCTGAAATGTATCTGACACGGTTTTAAAACAGAATAATTCATTAAAAGCATTTTAATGCAAGTTACAAATTAAGAGTTTCCACAAATATATAATGTTTTTTTTTAAAAAAAAAAGTCATAAAGGCATTCTTCAACACCAAACTTCAAAAGCATCTATACTCTCTCTATTCTGCTTCTTCAAAGTCCAACTTTCAGTTCCATGTCACGGGGAAAACTGCACAAGTCAGATCTTTTGGTATGTACAGGACACAATATTAAAAAAACATACACCGTTGAAATAAAAGCATGAGACAAGATGGTCACCTCGCCCCATTCGGTGTTTGTAATTATGAGGTGCAGTATTTCTAAAACAAAATACACAGAGAAACAGGTAAAAAGAATTAAAAGCCTGGCTCCCTATAAATCTTTTCTTAACATGATGCCTTCCAGATGTGTTGGGATGGCACTGGTGAGGGCATCAAATTGGGGAAGGCTGCTTTGGACACAGCCAAGCAACTGTCTCTGCTACCAAAGAACACACTTCTCACGTAAAGAGGTTTTCAGTCAGCCTTGTGTGAAATCACTAGAGAAGCAGAGAATGAAGAAGGAAAAGAAACAACATGACAAGTGAAAATGAAGGGAAATCAAGAGTCATCACAAGGCCAAATAACCAATTCAAGAAAGTAAGCTCATTTCACTCCAAAGTCAAGGGTCAAAACAATGTGAAGAATAAGAATAAACAAAATGTAAAACACAACTTCAGATGGCAAGAAAACATTCAGAGCCCAAGATTTGTGGGAGCTATCAAAACCCAGCCAACAGAGGCAACATAGATGTATTCATATTCACTCTTAGCCAATATTATCTATTTGCTATCATAAGTTAATTCATAGAAAAAACTATTTTTATCTTAAGGTTATTCTAGGAGTGCATACTTAGAAAATGTCATTTGCATGTTTTGAGTGATATTAGAGATCAGAGAAATAGAATTAAACTGGTACGTTTGAAAGTCATTAGACCCACATTAAAGCTGCTTTATGATTGTAGCTCTTTATTCTGAAATGTCTACAAAGGAAGAATAAACACTTAAAATCATTTTGAAGAAATGCTCATATTTAGGCTATGACAAACCCCTTCTCCAGCTGAAAAAGCAAGCAAATAAGTGGATCCTAGTTTATCCCTTTGAGAGGTTGTCTCTTCTTACCAGATCTTTGCCACATCTGGATAATTTGGTGCAACCGAGATGCTTATCCAACACAATCCATGTTGATCATACAATTGAGCATGCTGTTAGAGACTGGCAGCCATGGCAAAGCCTGTCAGGAAGAAAGAAGCTCTCATGCGAATTAGAGTCACTTCCACAGCATCAGTGTTTCCACCCCTTTAATCCCTCATAAAGCAGTGTGATTCCAAGTCCAACCAATAAATGTTATTACTTCTACCAGCCTCAAAGCACTGAAAAACCTCACTGTCTTGGCAATTGTTCAAGTGGATACTTTTCCTTACAACTGTGACCATGGTTACCTTTGCTGGACTGGGGAAAATAAGAAATTTTAAATGATACATACAGGAAAAGTCAAGCTCTGAGAACAAGATGCTGAATTTAAAAAGTGTTTATGTGGGGTGGGGGGTGGAATCATAGAATGATAGGACTAGAAGGGACCTTGGAGGTCTAGTGTAAATTCTAGGAAGCAGGGTGAGGAGAGGATTCCAGCCAATGAGAAAATGAACCACTCACGAGATTTACAGTGTTAAGCAATTCTATGTAAAATATTAGTTTTGTAATGATTCCAAAGAATTTGGATTAGACTCAGAACAAAACAATTTTGCATCTGAAAATAAATGATAGCATGAAATCAATCTGGTTTGGAGCTAATCCCAAAATGATTGCAAACCATTATTTGAAACTGCTTTAGGATTCAAACGTGGAGTGATTATGCGGAGGTTTGCTTTGGGGTATGTGTGATAGTTAGGTTATCTATTTATGGTGCCCTCTGGTCAATCTTAAATCCTAGTCACTGCCTGTACAATTCCTAGGAGTTTTCTGGCAACATTTTAGGAAGTGACTGGCCCAAATTCACCCAGCTGATTTCATGTCTAAGGCAGTACTAGAACTCATAGTCTCCCAATTTTTAGCCTGGCAACTTTAACAGCTACACCAAATTGGTTGTCAGGATTCCAGATTACGAATTCCCATTTCTTGGAGAGCTGCCAAAGCCTATATTTTCTTTTAAATGCCTAAATTCTGCTTCTTGCAGTTTTCTTAGCATGACAAGCTATCTATATGAAACAGCTTTAATATGGTTTATGTGATGCTACAGGTGCTGTTTTTCTGATATGTGAAGTCTAGTCAGTCAGGACTTGCGTCTCTCCAGTTGTTTCCTACAATGAGTGAAAATTAAGCTTGGTACTTTTATGCCATTTATGTCTTCTTATCTCTTATTGTCAGTGGCATTTAATGGCCAAGAAACAATCTGATTCTATCCATTGACCTTCTCATTATTAAAAAAGAACCAGTAACAACTATTTTGCCTAAAGTTGCTATTGCCATTGTAAATTTCACAATTCACAAATGTTTCTAGAACCTTTATATAGCAATAGCCAAGACTAGGAAAACGATAGTGAGTAATATGCATGTTTATACATTATTATAAATTTGATTCTGTAAATTATTAACTTATCATTTAATATACAATATGGATCATGCTGAAGAGCATATTTGTTCAAGTAGTATAAAACACACAGTTATGGCAAGATTACAAAATATAGAAGTAGTTCACCCCTTTGATGAAAATTGAAGGAAAGAAGTGGTGTGGGGATGGGAAGGGCAAAGATACATTACATTTTTTATGGGCCCAAAATAATTTCCTAGAGGGAAAAATGGACTGCTGGGTTATTTTAAAATTATTTGTGAGAAATATAACAGAGCTGAGCATAAATCCAAACTTGGCTCAGCTAAAGGGCAGAATAGGTCAGCAAGAAGCTAGAAAATACAAATCTAGTCTATTTTAGCCAAGTGATGCTAATACTAATAAAACTATAATACTAAATTATATTAATAATATGCTAATATTTATTGTAAAAAAATTTACTCCAAACCTTGTTTATTATATCTATTGATTTTCTCAATGGAAAATGCCATCAAATATAAACAAGTTCTAGATAAGTAAACCATGGATAGTGACATGAATATTGTCAGTTGAAATTGTTTATTTTAAATTGATAATCTATGGAAGAGAAAAATCATATAGTGTTGTGCTCTGGTTTATGAGTCAATGAGTCAACTCCATTCAGTCAATGGAGATTGACTGAATTGGTATTGTAAAATGGAATGATTAGTCACTGTTTTGCAATTTAGCTTTTATTGGTGGTCGGAGACAATTGAAGAACTGGTAATCATACTAGTTAGAAATTAAGAAAAATATGATCCTACAACTAGGAATCTATCATTCAAGACTTGAGGCAAGAAAAAGATAATTACAGCATGATCAAGATGGGACTTCTTAATTCATGAGGTTAAGAAAGAGGTATGAATTGAATGCAGGGAGGCTTGTGAAATGAATAATAGCTAATAGAAGAAACTGTTGAGTTTATAGTTAGATCACTTTTTCCTATAATATGTCATGTTCCTAAGGTGTAA